TATTGCTTATTTTTAAAATATTGTATTAAAAAGTGATGTCGATTTGAAAAAACATGAATAGTATTAAAAAATAAATAAAATGGGAAAAAAACTTTCATAAACTTTTTACATACTTTTATAATGTATAATAACTTTTCATATATTTTCATTGTTGTAAAAAGTTCTATTTATAGATTTTTTTTTCGCTACCACAATTTTTAATTATAAATAAAACTTTAAAAGTGCTTGCTTTTTTCATAAAAAAGTACAATTAGAATTATACTTTATTTAAAGTTGATTTACAACCAAATTAATACCATCCAGCTAATTTTACCTTTTTTTACACAAGAATGTCAACAAATAAAATATAATAAAAGCGGGATGATAGTCAGAAACTACTGATAAGCCATCATGTTACATGATTTTTCTCTCATCAAGCAACTCTAACAGTTGTTTCTTTTCCATACCTAGATTAACTTGGTTGCAATCTTTAAATTAGTGCAATTTGATCCTTACCAATAGCACCCAAGAAAAGGAACTTTAAAATATATAAAAAATGTGAAACGAAGCAGGGAAACAATGAATAGAAAAATATTTTATTGGGTAATATTTAGTTAAAATAATTTTTCAGCTCTTAATGTGCATTATCTTAGTGACACACTAAAACATTTTGCACAGATTCATAAATGATTAGCGCAGAAGTTATTACCGCTCGCTACAGTATTAAATACATTCGTAAAACGAGAATAGTGTTAAGTACATATAAAAGTGGAATATACAAGAACATGTTTCCAATGTTAAAATTACTTAAGGTGGTTATCAGGTAAAAAAATTATTTTTTGATTGCCAACTTAATCATATACCAAAGTTAGTTTAAAAGAAACATACTTATTAATATAATTAAAAATGATAAAAAAAAAATAATTTCCTTTTTTTTTTTGCTGAATCAGCATAAAATGCAAAAAAATCAATGAAAAAAGAAAACAACATTTTCTCAGCCTCTTTATGACATTATAAGCCAAAACTTACAACACTGATAGATTATAGTGTATTAAACAAAAGCTTACTAGAAAAACTAAAAATAATTATTATTTTTAAAATGGCAGCTTTTTCAATTTTAACGGAAATTATTGATACAAAAAAAAAAGGTAAAATATGAATATATTCAAATGGAAACAAGCTTAAGATTAGTTCTAGTAAGCTATTGCAGTTCTATCTATAAAGAAACAACCCTGAAAATTTGAACTCAATTGCATATCTGGTTAAAAAGATATGAATGATTCGCTTATTGCAGTCAGGCAAAAACAAACAATTGAGAAATCAAGCTTCAAAGTTTAAAAACAATTTATTAATTAAAAATTTCCTGTAATATAAGAGTCTACTCCCTCTTTTTCTTTCTCCTTATCAATATAACCCTTCCTGATACATCTCCTTTTCCTTCTAGCCCTTTTTTGCTTTGGAGTTGAATTTTTAATCGTGTTCTTTACTCTTGATACATCCTTCTTCCACGATCCTTGGATCATAAAACTTCCAGGCAAGAGCTGCAAATAATCAAAAATTCTTGTGAAACCTCTCAAACCATCATTGTAATTTATTACAGCTGAAGCAACACCAAGATCTAGTACCTTTTTAGTAACAAAAATATTTTTTGGACACTTTTTCCAGATTATCTGGTTGAAAGCCTCATTTGGATTTTGCGTTGCGCCATCCAGGCATCTTGATAACAAATCATCTGACCGTAGTGCCAAGAATGTGTCTTTAAGAATACTTTTAATAGCAAGAGGCAAATTAATTGATGGTTTATAATTTTTGTCATTCTGCCAATACTTGCACCAGCTTTCCTTTGTACGTGGACAAAATTGATGTCTCTCTTCGCTGTTGCTTATATTCGAGCAATGCCACAATACAGCCAAAACAGATTTTTTCATATTGTACAAGGCTATAGTACGGTCTCCACTCCATGCTTCTAAGGTATTTTGCCTAATGCTCATGCCATAAAAATTTTGCATTTTATTAATGATCTTATCTGTCAACCTTCCTTTCCCTGATATAATTTTCCCATCTTCTAACTTTTTACCCTTTAAGTCACATCGCATTTGACGTAACCGGGTGCCTAGGCGTTTTTGGACATGACCGACGCACTCTATTTTTACTGGGACAAGATCTTCTCCATATGGCTTTGCCTTTACAACATTTGTATAAGATTCAGTATCTCCATCTCCTATATAATGAGAATAGCGAACATTGTACTTTGCCAATGATTCCGTAAAAAATGATAAAGCACCTGCTGATTCCATGGCACCTGATGATTTAAAGTGGTTAAGGTCGCAAACATGTGTCTTCAAAAACTTTCCATAACCGCTCTTATTTCTCTTACTTTGCCACAAAGCACAGCCACGACAAAACTTTGAAAATACTTGGTAATCGACAACTTTACGGTTAGCTTTTGCAACAGCAGTGCATACACCATTTAGAGATGAATGACCACGTTTCTGCCATGAATCGTCAATTCCAATTTGTATATCAACAATATCATTTTCAGCAGCATTTGGAAAATCTCTTTTTCTTATCTCTGTCACAGCATCCTTCATGCTATCACAAGAAGCAGCTTCATAAAATTTTAATAGGTCAGAGTTTATTTCATTATACGAGAACAAACTCATTGGTGGGGGCATATTCAAAATAGATGCAAATATTTTCATTGCCTCGTGACCTTGCCCAATTTCTCTAAAGGCCATAACAGTTCTAACATTAATTTCTTGAGATTTTACTCCTCTGGTATCTCTATCAGGTATACTAAATGCTCGAGATGAATTAAAGAAGTACGTCCATTCACAAGTTGCACATTTAATACAAAATTGTATTGAAAATCCCTTGGCTTTTTCATCGAGATATTCAAGAGCAATATCCTTTGAATTGCATTCACCACAAGATCCAATGCTACAAATTAAATCTTTAAACATTGGGAAATGAAAAAAAAAGAAAAAGTCGTCGTGTTTTGTTAAAGGTTGATCAGCTTTATCTATGGAAATGTTCAACTTTGTTGAACTAGCACATGGCAATATATTTATTCCATCATTGTTTGTATCTTTGTCAGGCTGTTGCAAAAAAACTTCAACTGTTTTCTTAGTATATCTATTACCTTGAAAAACTCGTTTAACTTTTCTATTTTTAAAACTTTTATTCTTTGCCATAATAAAACTTTTTTTAACAACTTTAAACTTTTTTCTTTCTGCTTAACAAATAACATCAAAACATACGGCTTTGCTAAAAATAACTCTGGTTCAAAAGTTTAGTTAATTATACAGACCCATGAAAAGAAATAATTGTTTAAATCTAGGTCTTTGGGTAATATATCTATAAAAAATTATTGGTTGCTATGCGGTTGTTAAGTAAATTTTTTTTACTCTTACCAACTAAAACAATTTTTTTACATTTTTTTATTAATTAACCCATATCATGTTATATATGGTTAAAAAGCCAATTAAATTTTAAACAAAGTTGGCTGATAAACTAAAAAACACATTTTTTCACAAAAATCGCTATTTTTTTACCTGATAACCACCTTAAAGTATTAGCAATAAAAAAGTACGTAAAAACGTTTTTTCATCGGTATGCTGCTTCGAGGTAATATGAATGACCTCGGAGAAGTATAACAAAACAAATGAAGCTCATTACTTCTAGTGGCATACGATAAGATTAGGCCGGATATCTTTTGAGTAGAAGGCAAGCGCTTTACTATCCTATTTTGCGGTCTTCGAGCAAATAGGTTGTAACTTAACTGACATTTCTGCGCAACTGAAAAAGTAAGGGTTGAAAGCCGAGTTGTCTTGTATAAATTAATGCGAATCAAAAAAATTTTGATAATTGCAAAAAATTTTTGCAAGACAACGTTCACTAAATGTCAATTATAACCTTTTTTCACTGAACCAACGTTATGATGGTTATTTTAATAATGGATAAAACTTTATGCTCATATTCGAAAAAATTGTCAAAATGCATTTTTTGCTAAAATAGCTATGATAATAATAATAACTTTTTATCTAAAATTTATAAATATTTTTATTAACTTTGAACTAGGGCCCTGCAAATCGTCAGTTTTTCTTTCGAATCGAATCTCGAATCAAAGTAGGTCTTGATTCGAGATTCGAATCACGTTTCGAATCAACATTTTGAATTCTAAATTTAAGCATTTCTTTTAATAATGTATATATTTAAAAATAAAATAAAACAATTGTATAATCTTTTTATTGATGCTTCTGCCCTCGTTAATCTATTAGTGACTGACTAAAAAGGTATTTAAGGATAAATAACGTTATTTTGATTGCCCCAAAGCACAGAATATCTGAAATACCCACAACTAAAACAAAATAAGTAAAGATTCAATTTTTGAAAATTTTCGAATCGTATCTCGAATCATATTTTTGATTTGATTCGATTCGAAATTTCGAAGCTTCGCAACACCCTACTTTGAACATAAAAACTAAAAGGTGATAATGTTTTAAACATCCATTCAAAAAGAATCAGATTTTTTTTCTTCCTATTTTTGCTAGACTAAATTTTTTTTATTTGTAAAAAAATACATGTCACTTCAATGTTTTACAACAAACTTTTATAGTAAATTACATTTTTTAAGTTGATTATTTTCTTTTTTTTTTGAATTGACACACAAAGCATTTTACAACTTTTGTACAATTCTTTATTTTCACCCATTGTTCTTATTGGGAGTTAGAGTACAAGGCATCTTGCCAAACAGAGATTTCTTGATTCCAGCATCTCTGCAAGGCAAACAGTACAAAGCACTGCACTCGTTATTCTCGTGTTACTGTAAACCATACTAGTGGCCACCATTATTAGGTAAAGCCAAATACGGTCAAACACCCATGGCACCCACTATTGCTGCATCGTTGGAGACCAAGACTTTTCATTTGTATGCCAAAGTAGTTTTAGCATATTTATTACATTATAGCACAAGTTAAGCTAGGGTTACTTTATAATATATTTAGTTATTTAGAATAAGTTTTTTTTGATTATTTCTAATTTACTTCGGGCCCAAAACAAGGCCCAATTTTTTTATGAAGTATAACAGTATGGTTTTTAATAAAATGTCTCCAAGTTTCATTATCATTTTTTTGCAGGTTGCAATAGACAGTCAGTTGCCGGAGGAAATTAAATATTGGCAACTTAATTGGCAATGTAAGCACTTTGGTAATTTTAAAACCCGAGGAAAGGAGAAAAGGAAAATTCAACACGTCTTAGCAAAAGGATGTTCATTCAAAATATCAGCAACGTATAATCGGCTTCTTAAAAAGTTTGTTGTTACAAGAGCTGATTTATTACACAGTAATCACGAAGTATCTTCGGAGTTATATTACCTATACCACGATTATCGCAAACCAGTACCTGAACGACAAGCTGAAATTGATAACTTGCTTCTGATGCATGCCAATCCTACACTTGTATCTAATGTATTACACCAAGAAGGCTCTCATGTACGTGTAAAAGATTTGTATAACCGGAAGCAAAAACTTTTAAAAAGTGTTGGCTCTATTAATGAAGCTGTTCAAAGTGCACTCTCACAACCCGGAGTAATTAGTCGAATAATTTCAGGAAAAGATAACTTTTTCGAAGTATTATTTTTTCAAACTGTACACCAGCAAATGTTATTTTCAAAGTTTAAAGAAGTGATTCAAATGGATGCAACTTATAAAACAAATAAAATGCGTTATTCTCTTTACACTTTATTAATAGAGGACAATAATGGATTGGGACAACCAATTGGATTTGGTATTCTTGCTAAAGAAGACCAATCTCACATAGAAAAATTTCTTAAAATATTTTCTGAATTCAACAATATTACTGGGGTCCAATGCTTTATCGTCGATAAAGATTTGGCCGAAATTAACGCTATTAAGACAATTTTTCCTAATATTCATATTAATATTTGTTACTTCCATATCTTAAAGGCTGCTGATAAATTTCTTTGCGGTTTAAATAAAGTACACAATAAAAAAGTTTGTATGGACCACTTTGAAACTTTGCTCAATTCAAAAACATCGAATGATTTTGATAATGAAGTTGATAAAATTAAACATTTCTCGAACAATTTCCACGACTATATTTTACAAAACTGGGTTCCTTTTAAACAAAACATTACGTCGTTTAGTGAATCAAACATAATGCATCTTGGAAACAAAACAAATAACAGAATTGAAAGGTTTCATAGCGCGCTGAAACGTGTGTTAGGATATGCTCAGTTATCTCTACATGGTTTAATAAAAAATTTATTGACCATAGTGGAAGTTCGCTCGTTTGAAACTCATCATCGCCAATTTGAAATGATTATGAAAACACCTATAGTCACGCAACCAAATGTTTCCGAATACTACAAACTTTGTACAGACTACGCTGCAAGAATAATTTCTAAAGAAATGGAACTTCTACAATCAAAAGATTATAATGTTGTTAAAATCAACAACAAGTGGTCGGTGAATAATAAAAATTCACAAACATTTTATACTATAGAAGGTTTAAAATGTTCCTGTGGCATGCCAACACAAATGGGAGTTCCCTGCCGACATCTATTTGCTTTATGGAAATTTAACAACGAACCTATTTATCAACCACTTTCAGTTTCATCCAGGTATGCATAACTTGTAACAGTTTTTGTTTTTTCGTGTTATTTTTGTTTTGATTTATTTAAAATTTATAGGTAATACAAAGACGCACAAAAGAAACAATACTATAGGCTATAATTTATTATTTTAATAATAATTAAGCATTCTTATTCTGTACATATTTTTATAGGTGGAAAAAAGAGTTTTTGCCGAGTGTTGTCGAATCTTCTACCAGTACGGTTGTTTCTTCTGCCTCTAGTATAGTAACGCAAGCAATATTTGAAATGCCTAAAACAACTCGAATGGAAAGATTCAATAACGCAATGGTTGTTCTTAAAGATTTAGCCTCTCTTATTGCAGACCAACCTAGTGCAGCTTTTACTGCAAATATTGCTGCCATTGAAAAAATGAAAACACTGGTAATGTGTCAAAACGTTACAGCTTTAAATGTTGGTCTGCAAACTCTTATACATGAACTGCAACCACAAACGCAACCTACTCTCATTGTTGCACTACCAGCGCAAACATCACTAGATAATGTTGAAAAAATACAACTACCTGTTGAAGATTTACAACAATCACCAATTATATCAGAAGAAAACCTGATACCACAGTTAGCATCACATAACGAAGTTATTTCATCACCTCTTGCAGAGTATGATCAACCAACGTCAAAAGCAGGCGAGCAAGCATGTGAGAGTAGCTACAACAATGCTAACCAATTAACATCTTTAAGTCAAGTAGTTTTTCAACAAATTCCTAAGCCCCGTGGACGACCAACTTTAACACGTGCAAGGCCTTTTAAAATCAAACGCAGATATGACCAAACTTTAGCAAAGACAAATCGAATAAAAAAATTTAAAAATATTCTGGAAAAAAGAACTTTAAAACAAAACAAAAACATAAATGACAACATTTGTTTTTTATGTGGAGCTGACGAGCCACCCATAAATGTTTCATTAATTGACTGGATTGATTGCAGTAATGATTGTGGTCGTTGGTTTCATACTTCCTGTTTGTTAACCAATAAAGAGCAATGTATAGATAACTACTGTTGTGCATGGTGTCGTAAATAGCTCAAGCAGAAGTAACAATTCTTGGTAACAGTTATTCGCTGTCCATGTTATAAAAAACATAGTAAAGTATAAGAAAATTATATCTCTATTACGGTATTTAAAAAATTAACTTTATATTAACCTTGCAAAATTTGCTACTTCGAGAGTCGATCGTATAGTACTTAAAAAAAATACTATAATCTTTTATTTATATTTGTGCAACGTACTATTACATTTATTTTGACTGTGAATTATTTTAATCATGTTTACTCTATGACTTATATTTATATTGAAAGAGTGAATATATATATATATATATATATATATATATATATATATATATATATATATATATATATATATATATATATATATATATATATATATATATATAAAATAAATAAATTATTCCTAAATGATAATACGTTACTTAAGGAAACGGATGTTGACTTTGATAGAATAAAAAACCTTAAAATCAGAAAAGTAGATTTTGCGATTTATTCGAAAAACTGTTTATTATTTGACCAATGTGTAAGTTTGTTTTTATTTTTAATTCGATTCTTACACGTACGCAAATTATGAAATCATCAAAATACTTGTTGCGTACTCAATATATTGCAGTTTATTGCAGCGCATAACAACTTGAGTTAATATTTGCTACAGTCTTAATGAATAATTAAAATCCAAAATAACAGCAATTAAAAACTAAAGAAACTAAAGCGACATTTAAATATAGCTAAAAAAAAAATACAGGCAAATTATAGGAGCAACATCCAGCATACACATAAATGATACACATTTTTATTTTAATACTTATTTCTAAATGTATTAAACAAGCCTTACGTACTAAACCATAAATAAAAAAAATTACTATCTAATTAAAAGTGATTTTTTTAAAGATGCTCCAAGCAGACACTGGGATAAGACTGTTAGGGTCTTATCACAGTGCACTACAGAGTAGTATTTAATTAGGAAGTTTATGCCTCCTTCCTTACCTATGTCGATATTTGGGCTGAATCGGCATTGAACCTCGAATCTATTTGTTATGGGTCAGAACTCTAACTACTGCACCAATGCTTCTTTAAAAATAATAAATAACTTAATTTAGTAATAACTTATTTTATAAAATAAGTTATCAAATACGTCAAATTAAGGTCCTGACAACACGTCTTGGCGTTTTTAAGTAAGTTTATATAGTTATTAGGACATATTTTATATGACGAAATCACACCTTATGCTATATGGCAAAGCGAGGCGACGTCTTTTTCGGACATCATTCGCGTTTTCAGACGAATTTAAAGCATATTTATTGGACAACATTTCTTAATGTTTAAATTTTTTTCCTCAGCTTTTCTTAAAAACACACACATAAAAAAAAGAAAAAGGTTCTCATATCAAAAAAAAATCTGGGCAAACCTAAAAATTAAACACATTATTTAGTGTTCAAATTCACCTCAAATTGGCTTTTTATTTTTATCACGTTTTGGAAATACGGTTATGCTCATATAAAATCAAGTAAGGTACCTACTGCATTATGCTGTCAACACTATGCAGTCTGCAAAGTATTGATCAGGCCAAGAACTTTTCAATACATCTGTAAAAAAAGTTTTCTTCTATGATGCAAAAATGTTTAAAATTATTTTGCATTAGAACTTAATTGCAAATTGCAAAGAACAATAGAGTAGACACAGCTAATGCGTCTACTTTATGAAATACGTTAGGTGCGTTAGGATAGCTTTGAGACATTTTACTCAACCTACCATAAAAACTAATAAAATTTCCTCAATTTTAATCATACAAATATGAAAACAAAACACAAAGTATTTAAATACAAATATATTTCATTTAGTGCTTCAAAAATATTAAACAACAATTTTTGTTAAAGAAATGTTTATCTTTTTTATAATGTTTATGACTTGAATTTGTCATTCTTCATTTTATCGACTTTCATTATTTATTCCTGTACTTTGGTCGTTTTCGAATTATCTTTGTTTCTATTTTTCGAACATAAAAAAAAAAAGTTTTTTAAATTCATTTACTAAATTCAACTTAATTTGACTGGAATATAAAGACTTGAAAACTAATTAAAAACTAATTAAAACTATTAATGATGCTATACTTACATGATTGTCTTGAGTTGATTTTCTTAAACATAAGTTGAATCTTTTTGCTAAAAATTTTCAATTTCTTTAATTAAAAGATCGGCATCAGTTAAATGTTTTTCAACTTGTTAAAAAAGAAAATAAAAATATTCATGTTTTAGTAATGTTTTAAAATATTCAAATTTATTTACATATTCCCTAATAATAAAACTAGTTCTAATAAAATAATCTAATGTAATTATAACTCTATATAATAATCCGGAAATTTTGGAGTACGTACTTTATGGACGACTCTTCCTAAAATTTAGTGAAATAAAATAACTACATAAATAGTAAGTATTAAATATATAAGTTTCAAAGTTATATGTTGTACCAGGACTTCAGTACTAGTCTGATACCTATACTCTCAAAGATCACAATCCTATTGTTAAAAGCGGATCAATTTGAATGTCATCGAAATGATCCAGTTTTTAAATAATTGGCTTCTGGATACTATTTATTGCCTATTGTCTGAGGATACTAGCTAATTTCTAAATGCTATCGCTAACATTATTCACCACCACTAAGAGCGACAGCTTAACGTACCCGCAACACATCAAGTTATTGTCCCAGATATTTTTAGCAAAGGTTCCTAACTTTGACTAGGAATAACTTGTGAGCATGTCTTTTTTGATGCTGGCATAAAGCTCATAATGTCACATTTTGTTTTTGAACTGTCAAAAATTTCTAAAAATAGGAAAACAGATTTCTTCTCTAAAAAACCAACTGGTGTACAAAAATAATTGATGATTGGTCAAAATTTTTAGCACATAACCCACAATATAATGAAGAAATGAAGGTGGAGTTGTTTAAACGCATGGCTATAAATATTCTAAAAGCAAAATAAAAACGGAAAAGGTGTAGAAAAAAATATGTCATATGAGGCATGATTGACACTAAAAGTCAAGATACTTTATCAACCATACTTCAACAATACTTTCTCTGACTTCTTAGCATTAAAAAGAATATTTTTTAGTGCTACCAAATTAAAAAAGAAAAATTTATAATTTCTTAGTACTAAAAGATATTCTTTTAATTCGTTTCATTTCAACTATAACATCAAAAACCGACTAAAAAGAACTCTAAGTTAGGAAGTCATCAGACATATATCGGTAAAGACATTATCATAATTTAATTATGATATTTTATCATAATTAAATTTCATTACTAAAAGAAAAAAAAGTCATAAGATGTTTAAAAGAAATATAAATAGACATACTTCAGTCAGGTTTCTTCCTTTTATCACCAATTGAATAACTGTTTTATATAAAAATAAACTAATAACATCTATTTCAACATTTTTACAATTTATATAAATTTATGAGGCCTTTATAACATAATATTTTGTATAATTTGAAAAATTACCTTAATCTAGTTTCTTTAATACTTCAACTAATAGATTTACTATTTGTATAAAAAAAACTGGTAACAAATATACCATTAATTAAGATGTTATTCATAAAAACCTCATTGTTTAATGTTTAAAATAAATAGAAAGAGTACATACACGAGTCAGGTTAGTAGCAGATTTTGCTGTGTTGGCAAACCCAGTGAGTGTGTTTTTATGCACACTTTGACAGTTGTTATGCTTGATAATTCCTAAACCAGTAATCAAGAACAACTTTAAAATTATCAAATTACCGATTGTGCTGATACAACTTTATTTAAAAACCAGTTCCACACATTCACAATTCTATTGAAAAATAAATATTCTCTAGATGGAAGTTTGGCAAATTCTTTGTAATATTTAAAACAGTTACCTCTCAAGTTGTTATTTACAAATGAAAAACTTTTGTAGATTTCTATATATTAAATCCCATGAACAAATTTCTATAATTGAATCAAGTCACCTCTTTTTCTTACATTTAAACTGGTTAAGTCTAAAGAAACAAGTCAATCTTCATATGTAAGGTAACTTATTGAAGGTACAAGCTTTGTTGATCTATGTTGCACTCTTCCAATAGCATCACAATCTCCTTTCAAATAAAGAGACAAAACAGGAATAGCAAACTCTAAAAGAGGATGAATGTAAAATAAAGGCAATGTACAGTCAAATCTCGCAAATGATTTTTTTACACAAGCTAACATTTGATTTGCTTTACCAATTGCCATGGTGACTTGTTCCTTCCGTTTAAGATTTAACTTTTTCTTAAGATACTAATGTTGCTGTTGTGCCAACAAATTATTATCATGAAAATATTTTTCAATTTTACTTTTAACTATTCCTTTTTTTTGCTTTAAAATTAAATAAAATGAAACAATGTTAACCATAAATTTCTAATTTAGAAAAATTAAAGTCAATGTTTAAGCCCTTGCGAAAACAAAAGGTCATTGACAATATCAGGTGATAATTCAAGAACCCAGCCAGCAGAGAAAAATGTTCTCTCCGATGAAGTGCTGGTTGCAGGAACTCCCAAAATTCTTTTCCTAATATCAGTAAAAATTCTTCCATTTTGTAACCCTTTCTTTCCTGCATAACAATATGTTATCTTGCAATCCATCACAATTTTATAAATATGCAACCTGAAGGATAATAAACATGATGATTTTATAGGATGAAAATGAAGTTATTAAAAATAACTAAATTTTTCATATGTGAAAAACATTGGCCTGAAAATACAGAAACAACTAAGCTTCCAGGTAGCTATACTCTGCACCAAGTGTTTTTAATGTTCCTTTTTCTTGTCTACCAAAGCCAAAGTCAGTGTTTTGCCAATCTAAGCCTAAGGATCAGCAACTTAATTATTTTCTTAAAAAAGACAAAACAAATTCGTTTTCTGAATTCTAACCTGACAAAGAATTACACAAAAAGTATCAGTCTATAATTTCTGCCACAAACATCGATTTTATATTACAAAAAACATTTAAAAAAGTAACAAATGATTATTAGAAAAATGCTTTTTTGATAGTTGATGAGTAAAAATTAGACCAACAGTTGCTTATTCAGGTGGAGTTTTATATGGGATGGTAAAAAATGATTAAGAGTCTGAAGCAACTTCTATGCTAAGTGTAATGATGAAAAAATTACCTGGTGGACCTAATTGTATGGTTTCTATTACACCTGTTCACAAACTAACATCAATGTATCAATTCAGTGTTGTGAAAGAAGCTGTTGTTTTAGCTGAAAAAAATAGTGCCATTATTTTAGGATCTGTAACAGATAATTATATAATCAATCAGCACTACTGCAAAATCTTCAAAATAGCTACTGACTGTAAGGCCATTCATCCATTAGAAGATCAGCGTGTTTGGTTTTTTTTGTTTGATACAGCTCATCTTCTTAAATGTTTGCGTAACAACTGGATTTCTGAAAAGTGTCAAAAGTTATCTCTTGACAATAAAACCATTGGTTCTTTTTCTGATGTCAAAAACCTATATCATTATGAAAAAGATAATAATTTGAAATTAGTTCCTATATCATGCTGTTGTCTCCTTCTAGACTTCAACTACAGAATGTGCAACACGTTTTAAAAACATTTAACGAGAAAGTAGTAGCTGCTTTGAAACTAAAAGGAGCTTTTGAAACATCCTTATTTATTCAGCAGGTTTTAGATTGGTGAAATATTGTTAATGTTTCTGCAAAAAGCAGAACATTAGACTAAGAGACCACAACCAATTTGTGCAAAATAAAAATTCGAATAATCTTCAAATATTTTTAGAACTATGTAAATCTATGAAATCAGGGCATGGACCCAAACGACTTCAATGTGTTACCCATGATACTGATAAAAGCCCTTGTGTAAATCACTGAAGGAATAATAGCTGTTCGCAAGCATTTGTTTTCAGTCAGTTTTGATTGCTTCTTACTTTGTGAGTTACAAAGTGACAGAATTGAAGGAGAATTTTCTGTTTACAGGGAATCAACAGGGGCAAATGCTTTTATGGCAGCTGGGGATGTTTTTTGTGCTTTTAAAAAGCATTTAACTCAACTTGCTGCAGCATTTCTAGAATTAGTGGAAGTAGAACAACCTAATAAAAAAGATTACACATGTGAAGGTCCAATCAGTTTTGAAGAAGTGACTTCAATTGAAACTTGCATTTATAATGTGAGTCTTTCAGAAACTGAAGAGAGCTCTGCTGCCTATGTGGCAGGATAGCTGGAGAAAAAATGTGAGGGTGAACTTGTTTATGCTGAGGATGAACCTATACTAACAAATGAAGCTAAAGACTTTATTGAAGAGGTTTCACAAAGATATTTGGCAGTTTCTCATGAGTGTACATATCGGCTAGTTAGAATTTGGTTATGCTTTGTGAAAAAAATGAAGCACAAAGTATGTTGTAGAAAAAATCTTATAAACATTCTGTCTATAATAAACACATATTATAATTTTGCTTTATCATCAAAAAATCTGTATAGGCGTTTGGCTAATGTTCTTTTGCATGGAATTTATAATTTGGAAAAAGACCAAACAAAAATTGCATGTCTTTATCAGATATCAATCAAAAAGGCACGCCTTGCCGAATAATATTTATAGACTTTATTAATTTGTGTTTGTTGTTAACTTGCTTATAGAGTTTTATATACTAACTCTATATATATATATATATATATATATATATATATATATATATATATATATATATATATATATATATATATATATATATATATATATATATATATATATATATATATATATATATATATATATATATATATATATATATATATATATATAATAGGGCTGTACTGGATTTAATTTTTCCAAATCCGGCCGGAGCCGGATTTGCCAGATTTCTACTAATAGATCTGGCTGGAATCTGAGCCGGAGCCAGTTTTTGAAGCAAAACTACAGGAGCCAAAATCCTGTAAATCCCTACTTGGTTTGAAAAATGGTCAACAATGTTGACTATTCAGAATACCAAGTGACAGTTTTTTTCTGTTAAACTTCATTTTTGTTGTTAAAAAGTTTTATAGCACTTTCTATAGAAATTAATAGACATTTTATATAAATTTTATAGAGTTTCTATTGGCCATATATTTCAAAAATTTAGAGAAATTCTATAGAACTTTTTTTTCCGGGATGTTGTTACTCCGCCACTGTAATCAGAGTGTCTATATATTTTTAATCACTGTTAATCAGAGTGTCTATATATTTCTGATTCTTCCAGATATTGGCTTAGCTGAGTATCAATGCCTATTGGTAATTGTTGTTTATGTGCTGTGCTACAAGCGGGCGTAGACTGAATAATTTCATCTATATATTGCATCATATATATATACCATTGTAATGATGGTAATTTAAAAGAATTATCCAACCGGGCTTACACACATATATATATACATTTTGTTAAATTTAATTTTATAAGCGTTTAGTAAGATGTCAGTGTAACCTGTCAGTGTTGTAACCTGTCAGTGTTGTAACCTTTCAGTGTTGCCTGTAATGAGAAGAGTCTAGTTTGAAGTTAATGATCAACCAGTGTCACCACTATATAAAAAAGTTTCTCCTCAATGCCTTTAAAATACTCATCCAACGACTTGATTAGGATTGACTTCATAGTCTTTACACCTACATTATAGCAGAATATCGTTTGTCTTCCCTTCAGAATTTTTATTGTGTTGTTGTTTGAAATTAGGCTTTGTATTTGAAATACCAAAACAAACATGAAGTATTTGTATTTAAAATACCAAAACAAACATGAAGTTCTTCTTACAAAATTACTAAAAATAAAATATTAAGTATGCATGTTATCACGGGCAAGAAAGATGTAATAAATGTCTGACAAAAATTCAGAAATCCTGCTAAAATTATGCCGGGTTCGCTAACATTTTGCCAGAGCAGGATTTGGACCGGATTTGTAAAAATGCCAGAGCCGAAATTCGGTACAGCCCTAATATATAAACATATATATATATATATATATATATATATATATATATATATATATATATATATATATATATATATATATATATATATTTAAATATATATATACACACATATATATATATATACATTTTGTTAAATTTAATTTTATAAGCATTTAGTAAGATGTATTTAATGGTCTTCACTAGCCAATTCAGAAAATTGAATTTCCGCGTCCTGTCATATAGTAGTCTTTGTTTATCATAAATACATTATTTACAAAAACATTATTGTGTAATGTTTAAAATTAATTAAAACAATATATGAACCAGGTTTCTTTACTTCCTCAACTATTTGATTTACCATTTGTATTAAAATAATGTTTTAATATTTATTCTATACCTTTCATATCAAAAATGTTATTTACAAAGACTTGATTGTTTAATGTTTAAAAGAAAAAAAAGACATACCTAAGTCAGGTCAATTCACAATGATTTCCATAAGTAGTAAACAGTTTGGTTTACTGTTTATACAAAGTCAGGGTCTTGTAATATAGTAATATAATCTTGTAATATAGATAACATAATTTCTTAAAAATAATAAAAATATATTATTTATAAAAAACGTCATTGAATAATGTTAAAAATATGTTAATACAGTACCTAAATCAGGTTTCTTTACTTCTTCATTTATTGGATTTACTATTTATATAAATAAAAATTATATAAATAATTATTCTATATCTTTTACAGAATCTATCATAAAGATTTTATTCTTAAAAATATCTGTATATAATGGTCTGTAGACAAGACAAGATTTATGTTGTGTTAGTTTAATAAAAAAAAAATTATTTAGTTTACACAAATAGAAACTTTTCCATCCTTATATATTTATGAGTGATTATAATTAAGCATTTTTATTCTTTAGAATTGATTAGAAATTGTAAAAAATATTAGTTTTGTTAAAATTTTTAAATAGTTGACTAGTGATCAACTATGGTTAAAAACTATGATTAGTAGTGCATGTTGACTAGTGATGAACTATGTTATACAAACCAAAATTATGGTTTTTATAATTTCACTCCTAGAATTTGTTAGCACAAGTTGGCATTCTTATCTAAAAACAAGAAATTGTGCAACTGGACACAACACATTTTACATCACAAAGACAAAAAATTACACATGCAATATGTATTGAGGAACTAGTGCTTAAAAAACTTTCAAAAGTGAAAATAGATTTTTCATTAAATGTTTTACACAGCACCAATACTTAAATACTTTCAAAAATATCTTGGAATGTTTTAAATGAATTATTTCTAAAATAATATCCTCAATATTTGTTTAAATACAAAATTATCAATGTTTCAAAATTAACAATGTTTTTAAATTTTTATAAGTGTTTAGACAAAAAAAAAATACTTTTTTTAATTCATTAAGTACTGAAGCAATTAATTAAGTACTGAAGTTTAGTAAAGTTATTAACAGTTAATAATTAACTTGATATCAAGATGTTGACATCATGATACTACAATGATACTACTGCTAACATAAAATAATGCTTCAGTATATTGTTAGCTAAATTATATTTAATAAATTCTTAAATTCAAATTCTTACAATATTTTTGTAGACATAACTTGTAACATATTACTATTATTTTTAGCTTTGTCACTCGTCAATTCACATTAAGTTTAAATGTCGCTTTACAAAAACCAAAACTTGAAATCAAAACAAACAGAAGAATGTATGAAATTTGCGCATGCGTTAATTTTCAGCCGCAGAAGCAATTTATTAACGTTTAGAGAGGCTGAATTTTCAGCCGCAGAAGACTCGAGCATATATATATATATATATATATATATATATATATATATATATATATATATATATATATATATATATATATATATATATATGTATTATATAAATAAGAAAAACATATATAATATATATTTTATATTTATATAATATATCAAGTAGTCTCTACTTGTAATCCACACTCATGAAATAATACGGTCATAAAGAAATATCCATTTAATATTTACCTAACTAACTGCATCACAAGTTTAGCCATGTATTATTGTTAAATTGTCAAATTCAAAACCTTATAAAAAGGCAACAGATGACCTAATTTATTAGCATGTGTGACTTTACTTGTTTTTATTGGGCTAATAAGTAACTTGTTAAGTCTTTACTTGTTATTTGTTATGTTGATAAAAAATTTTTCATCACGCATGCGTATTTTAGTTATCATATTGCAATTACGAACGATCGAACTCGTAATATAGACGTTGAATTAACTTGGAATCAACGTCGATTTTATTTGATAGTTTTAAACAAATTTTTCAACGTTGATACAACGTTGATTTTTGGTTATACGACGTCGCGACTAAAAATCAACTGTAAATCAACGTCGAAATAACGTCGTGTGCCCACTGGGATAATTCTCCGCCAACGACTACAAATAACTAAGACAAGCTTGCTAAAAAATCTCTAAAGTTGTGAAAAAAGTAGCAATAGAGACTATGTGTGATGCTACTGCGGAAATCAGACACGATTTGAATACTGATATTGTTGATACTAGTGTTTCATGTGATGAATACGTATAGGTACAAGATTAAGAAAGTTGAAAAAAAAAAAAAACTAAAAACCTTGGTGGTAGAGGTAAATTAACAGATGCAACAATTGATCGGTTGCAAAGTTATTTCAGTATTGCAATTAGAACTAATGTATTGTAATGAGATTTAGCATCTATGAAACCTGGTACTCTGGCATCACTTTATTATGTTGCCTCCAACAAGGAGAATAATCTACATTTTCCACATTGCCCAGTAGGAGCTGATAATTGGTGCAAATATAATTCAGGTAAAGCCAATGGTACAACTTAAAAGATACTTATAAACCTGGACCAGGTTTACCAATAGCTATTGTTTATAAAATCAAACCAATCTTTGCAGAACTCAGTGCTGACCAACATTTGGAAAAGTGCTTACATGGTAAGACACAAAATACTAATGAAAGTTTTAATGGCACTATCTGGGAACGTTTACCTAAAATGAAATTTATATAATTCTGTCAATTAGAATTTGGAGTTTATGATGCAGTGGCTAATTTTAACATTGGTCGAAAAGCCTCGATTTTAGTTTATGAATTTTTCAAAATAATTCCAGGAGTATATACTCTTAAAGGTTGTAAAAATTTAAACTAACTATCACGTTCCAAATACATAAATATTGATAAAAACAAGTTGCGACAAAAAATTATTTGTGGCAAAAAACATAATAAAAATGATAATGAAAAAGAAAAAGAAGGGAAGTTGTATAAAGCAGGAGGTTTCTAATACTTTTTATTATATATTTTAACTATAATATGTATTTTACTTAAAGTTTCAAAGTTTTATATGCTAATTTTTTTTTCTTTTCGCGTTTTCTCAAAATAGTCTTTTTTCATACGCCGGCCGTTTTATCTCAAGAACCGTTTTACCAATTTTGATGAAATTTTCTGGAGTTGTTTCTATGATTATAAACTGTGGTTTAATAGAAACAGTTTTTTAAATTGAGGTTAAAATTTTTTTATTTTTAATATTTTGAATAAAAAAAATTTTCGCTATCTTTAAATGTGCACGCATCGCTCAGATTTTTAGTTACAGGAAAATGCCGCTATTAAAACACCCTTTGACCTTTTGTGAAGCATTTGGTGAAAGCTTTTTAAGAGATCTTGCACGATTATTTAGTTTTTACGGCCGGTGTGAATGCATTTTTTGCCCATTTTTATGTGTTTTTTGTGGTTACTATGCCAACCAAAAACCATTTTGTATTTTTTTTTAAAGGATTTTGTTTATTCATATTATATTGATGTTGTATATTCCCCCCTCCCCCCCTGTTTAGGGGGGGAGGGGGGCTTCCCCCTTAAGACGCTTTAATAAAAAAGAACAAATGAATCGTCAAACCGTTAGCGTCGTTAAATTATTCAATCAACCGTGCTATAATTTTTTTTTAAAGGGATTTTCATTTGAATTTAATTGTTTTGATCTTAAGTTTTTGTTTTTTATAAAATTTCTGATTGTCTTTGTATTGGAAATCAGTATCTGTTGTCAGCTTTTCTGTTCTCGTAATTGTATTGTTGCCGTTTTTTTACAACTTTTTAAAATTGTTATTATTATTTGGTTTTTAAACATTATTAATTATTTATTATTGTTATTAATTGGATGTTAAAAATTTTTGTAAGAATTGTTAAATGTTTTTTACATAGTATAAATGAGAGATCGATTGTATTGAATTGGAAGAACAGTTTAGCAATAGTCGTAAATCTTTGCTATAAAAACAAAACGAAAGTTAAGTGGAGCACCTACCCGTAAGTTAGCTAAGAAGGTTCGTTTAAACATGGATGCAAGCAAGTGTCACAAATTAACATCATATTTAACCGAATTGTCGGATATTCAGTTACAACCTTTCCTGTAAATACGCTTGTGTCTGAAGATCAACGCCTTTCTGAAAGTGTCCATACAAAAAGTCGTGAAACTGATACGCCTGATGAAAGATTACAACACTACTTCGAGCAGACAAACGATAATGGTATCAGGTCTACTTATTCTAAAAATGAAGCATTTGATGAAAAAGAACTTACTCCATATATCCCGGTACTAGTTACAACTGTTCAAGAACCGCTTCTTCCTTAATCGGACTTCCCTTCAAATACCGTACTATATAATAATATGAGTTTGCGTGCAAAACTGATAAGGAAGTTATGTGAAATAAGACCATGTCAGCCAGGTCTACAGAATCTTTCCAATTTCTAACGGATGAAGCCGTCCGTAATTTCTAAATATCTTGGTATACAAAAACTATTGGAAAAGGAAATATAAAAAAGGAAAGAAATTGGCTTGTACCAATCAAATCCTAGCAATCAAAAAATGTACTACCACGTTTGCTGGTTATTTGCTGATTTTAAAGGTGAAAATTATAGCAAAGAATGGTCTGATGCCTCTGCAGGAGTTTATAAGTGGAAAAAAGGCATGGAAAAAATTGTTAAACACGAAACTTCTCACTAGCATCAAAATGCAATACGCCAATTTGCTTACTAAATATCGTACTTCAAATAATAAAATTGTTATGTCTGGTTTAATTAGCCAAGAGTGTCGCCAAGTAAAAAAGAATAAAGAAGTTTTGAAACGAATGATAGACGTAACGTTGTTCTTAGCAAAGCAAGGTTTATCATTTGGAGGACACAGAGAGCATCAACATTGCAAAATGGGTAGTAAAGATACAGCATACAACGCTGGCAATTTTCTTGAACTGTTAACTCTATTATCTTAATATGATCTTACTTTGGACAATCATCTTAGGTATGAAAAGAGAAATCAACTGTATTTAATTCATGGTGTACAAAAAGATTTAATGATCGCTTGCTTCTGAATTTTTATCCACAATCAACAATGAAGTTAAATTAGCCCAGTTTTTTTAGTTAATTATTGATTCAACTATTGATATTTACAAAATTGATCAGATGTCAGTTTCGTTACGAATGGTTTTAAAATCAGGTGATGTTGTGGAAAGATTCATAGGCTTCTAAGCTTTAGAAAACAGCAATGCTGAAGTATTTGCTGAGTTAATTTTATCTGAGCTTGAAAAACTAAAAAATAATACTAAACTCTGTAGAGGACAAGCTAATGGCGGTGCTCCTGTAATTTCTGGAATTAAAAGTGGTCTTCAAACTCGGATAAAAGCGCAAATGCCAACTATGTTCATTGTTGTGCTCATGTTTTAAATTTAGTGACCATGGGAGCAATGTCTGTAAACAGCGATGTCCAGTTGTTTTTTGGCACAGCTGAAAAATTGTATAGGTACCTTACGTCTAGTTTACCACGGCTTCATATTTTCGAGAGCACCAGAAATGTCTATATGAATCAACAGTAGACACTCTGAAACGACTTTCTGAAACAAGATGGACAAGTAGGAAGCATGCAGTTGATGTTGTTGTTAAATCTTTTTTTGCTATTCTAGCCACTCTAGAAAATATAAATATAGGATAATCCAAAGAACAAACAGGAAATGTTAGAGCAGAAGCTATTGGACTATCAGTTTTAATAAAAAAACATTCATTTGTTTTTCTAATGTTATTTCTACAAAAGTTGTTAAATAATCTTTTTGTGTTATTTAACTATTTGCAACGAAAAGATATAGACGTTTTATTTGCAAAACAGTTGTTTGATGTTACAAAAAAAAAGTTTGTCGATATGAGAAACGATGCAGCTTTTTGTTCTGCATTTAGCAGTCAAATCATTTATTAGTAAAA